ATAATATAGAAGCCTAAGAGTTAATAACATTAAGGCCTAAGAATTAGCAAAAAATTAGGAACTCGAACCCGGTCACCGACCGGGTCTTAAGAGCTAGTGCTACCCTTAACTAAACCTCATTTGCTACCTTATTATCTATTGTATTAATGTCTGTGCTGTTAGAGAGAGCTTCATTTTGTTAGACCAAAAACTTACTATATGAGCTCCTTTTTTCATTAAGCATTTTCTTGGTGCCCTTAGAAGTGGTTAGAGCCTCTGGCCCCCATATACCTTTTCTCAATTCTGTCAAGTCTTGCTAAAATTTTTTCAAAGATGCCTTTGTAACTATAATCGAAACTCTCTGCTTTATCAATTTTCTCTACTGCTTTATCTTTTGAACCTGAGGCAAAACATATAGCTTTGGAGTTTAAATTCTCCTTATTATAAACTACCTCGTTCTTAGATATTCTTTGCTTAACTCAACTGCTTTTACTACTACAATGACGCTTGCTTTCTTTAATAGTGTTATTAGGTCTTTTCAGTCTTTTGTCTGCACTTAGCTTTTTGATCGAGACTGTTTTGTTAAAATCTTGTTTTTTTCTACTACTTATAAACTTTTTATACTCACTATAATATTTTAAACTTGCATCTCTTCCATTTTCTATCTCTGTGTCAGGAAGGTTCCACTTTAGCTTTGTATTAAAATAATACAAATTTGAACTTTGTGCTTTTATTAGATCTTCTTCAGTTTCAAAATACAATAGTGCTTTTTTACTCTGATTACCATTACTATTATTCAGAGTATGGACTGTGCGTACTTTGTGGTTTTCTAACTGTCGAAGCATGAGGCTATCAAATGCTGTACTTGGTACATTGTAAATTGCACTTTTAAACTTGCTTTTGTCTTCTAACTTCATAATGTCGAATTTCTCTAGTATTACTCTGTACAATTTACCTTAATCTAAATATATTGCCTAGCTTTTTCGTAAAGAGTTTTCTCACTCTTTAATACTTATTTCAATACTAATAAAGGCTGCTTTAGTTCTAAAACTATATTGCTAGTTTAAAACTTTAGCACTTTCAGAAAATTTCTAATTTCATCTGCACTTATTTTCTTTGGAAGATTCCACAATGTAAAGAAGTAGTACGTCTTATTTGTAATTTTTTCCAAGTTAACTTTACCCTTTGGTGCCCATGCTGAATTATAAATATCCTCATACTTTTTGATCTTTTTATTCTCTATTCATTAATTGGTGTCATTTGTCTTATTAGCCAATTGCTTTTTTATCCCATAATTGATAACACCAACCTCATTTTGAACCAATGCAATTTTTTCTAGCTCAATAGCTAATTTATCAGTATTATTTGTATTATCATGTTCTGACAAACTTCTCTTATGTGCACAATCTTGATTATTCTTCTGCACCTTTTTATCATGATTAGTTGTCAACATGACTGGCTTGTCATAACTAACCTCCATAGTTGCAGACACTAACTTATTTTGTTCTTTTTTAAAGTGAGGCTCATTAGTTTTTGTATTTAGTTCTAGCAATGTTCTTTCTTTGTCTAAAATTACGTCTTGTCTGATCTTTTTACTCTGTATCTATTTATATCTATCTAAAACGTTATGTATAATTGCTATTAAATGATTATCACTTGTATCTAGATATTCTGCAACGTGTATATCTTCCTTTAGTGCTATCATACTTTGTACTTTGTAAAGCTCTAATTTTTTTTCTTCTGACTTTTTAAAGAAGTTTCTATATTCTGCAAGTGATAGCATTTCTTGCAATTTCTATCTTGGATGTTATGTACTTTATATTTATCTCTTTTAGACTTGTTAATTCTCATTGCTAACTCTATCTTGTGACTCCAATACCACATGATTTTGACATGTTTTTTCATGTTTTAATATATTTTTACTTGTCAGATTTATGGAATAGCTTGTGCATAACAATGTGCCTTTACGTGTCAATTTGTGTTACACAATAGATCTACACTACAGGGTTAACGCTATTTTCTCTAAAATTTGGAATAAGCAAGAAAATTCTATCTATGTATTGCTAAAGCCATTGTATACTTCTTCAAACTCTTTTCCACAACTCTACTTTGCTTTTTTCCACTATTGTATTGACTTTAAGTTGTCTATGTTAGGTTGATCTTGCGTTTTCAGTATCTTGTTGACAAGCGATTATAAAAACTTAAAAATTAAGCTTCTTCTCTCCAAATTGCTTTACTGCTTGTTGATATCTTTTTAATACTGCTAGTTTAATGTCTACAGCACCTTTTAAACACTTTTTGTAGTATTTAATAATGTCCTTGGCTATATTTTCACTCTTAAATAGTTTTAATCTGCTGTTGTTATTGTGTGCCAAATGATTATCAGGAAGAGTTGAATCTAACTTGTTAAACTATATATTGAATTTACTAAATAAGTATTAATCTTGTTTTTTTTTTTTTATTCTTATTTTACCTAAGATAAAATTATGAGAAACAATGATAGATAAAACAATTAAATTGTAAATAGGTAAGAGTTAAACATGAAGATTAGAACTTGGTTATTTTGGATGATACTATGAAAGACAATAATTAGGTGAACTAAACTAGGTTTAAGATAAACTATGAGACTATTAAGTAATTAAAAACTAGCACTAATTCAGTTGATCTTGTCTTTATTTTTTTTAATAATTTGTTTGTACTTTGGGCAACTTTAATAGTAGATAAGTTTGAACTAACTATTGAAGAATTGAAAGACTAGCTAGATATTGTTACAAATATGAAACTAGAGCTAAAAAAGATAAAAACAAAATATCTTTATATTATTAAAGTGAATAATTCTAATGGAATATATCAAGTTGCCTATTGTTATTATTTAGAAAGTAGTGTCAAAATTGATAAGCATAAAGTATTTATATATTATCTGGAATCTGCTAAAGCTAGTAATATTGTGATAGAATTACCTAATTCACCAATTATCTGAATTGGGATTTACTAGATAAGTACATTATTAAACTTGTATTTTTTTTTTTTTATTCTTATTTTATTCAAGGCAAAATTATAAAGAGTGATAGTAGATAACTAAATTGTAAATGAGTAAAAATTGAATGTGAAAGCTATATGGAATTGATAAAAAACTTTGTTATAATATAAAAGACAATAATCAGTAAACTAGACTAGGTTTTAAAATAAACTATAGTACTATTAGGTAATTAAAAGTTAGCACTAATTTGTTTGATTATTGTATTTTGTCTTTATTTTCTTTTAATAATTTATTTGTACTTTGGGCAACTTTAATGTTGAAGCCAGGTTTGAACAAACTAGATATAATTGAAAGACTAGGCGAATATTGTTATAAATATAGAATTAGAGTTAAAAAGGATAAAAACAAAAAATTTCCATATTATCAAAATGAATAATTCTAATGGAATGTATCAAGTTACTTGTTATTATTTAGGAATTGGTATCAAAATCGATAAGCATAAAGCATTTATATATTATTTAAAGTCTGCTAAAGCTAGTAATATGTAATAAAATCGTTACTTAGTCCAAATTTTTTTTAAAAAAACTTCTTAACAAAAATAGTAAAAACGATCTCCCAGCCTATAAGTCGAAGAAAAAAGAAACCATAAGATAGCATCTGTCATTTAGAGATAGTTCTTATATGCTACCTGCTGACAGTTTCAAAGTTTATCACTACTGCAAGCCTGGCACTTGTCATTTAGAGGTAGTTCTCATATACTACCTGCCAACAAGTTCAGAGTTTATCACTTACCAACAAAATTCAAGTAGTGCACTGCCTGAGTTAGTGTTCCTATGAACTGAACTGAAACCGAACTTTGGTCAAGTTCAGGTTCAGGTTCAGTTCAATCATGTTCAATA